ATATATATATGTATGTATATGTATGCCTTTTTTTGGATGACTTGTTTTGTATTTATGACTGAGACAGACAAACATTAATTTAAGACACACCTAATGATTTTACCAGTGAATAACTTCAGTGTGTCAAACAGTTTCCATAAAACCTGCTGTAAAGAATATAGAAATAGACAGAAGACCTACTGTATGTACACCTTTAAGGGCCTGGGGGCGGAGCTTAGCACACGAGCCAATAACTGAGAGGTGGTGTCATGAAAATAGGAAGTTTCATGTGTTGACTACAGTTCAAAGGCAGCACAAGTCCTAACAAGGTACGGTGTCCTCTTCAGTCCTCTTCAGCTCTTTTTCCTGTCTCCAGCTCACAGCAGAGCAGAAACCTGCGGTGCCTGTCTGGATCTGCTCAGGGGCGGGGCCTGTGATTGAGCAGAAACAGAACTGAGTTACCTGTCAGCTGACTCAGCGTTATGCTGTAGCAGTGGAGAGGAAGGGAGGGGTGTTGTTGGAGGGGGCAGGAAGCAAGGAAACCAGTCCAGACGAGGCAGGTGATCCAAAGGTGGCACACGCTGCAGTAAAGTCCAGAACAGAGTCTGGCTCTAGTTGTGGCAGCAGGGATCAGAAATGTTTACACAGGAACATAAAGCTGTGACTTTTTAATTATGTTTATACGTTCCTGGCTAGAGTAGAGAAAAAAAAAACATAATGTTGCCTTATTATGATAAAACTAGGGCTGTCAAATGATTAAAACTTTTAATCTATTAATTCCAAGCTGTGAATTAATCACGATTAATCTTAAACATAATATACAACTTTATTGCATTTTGGTAAAATAAAGTACTTGAGTTATTAATTATGTCTTTATTTTGAAAAAAAACTTTGGTGCTTAAGAAATACATACAACAATAATAAATCGTGAAAATATCACCTCGACTGCACAAAAACAACAAAAATCAGGACCTAAAAAATGCCCCAAACATATTTGAGTCAAGTTAAATTCTGTGCAGAATAATGAGGTTAAATCAAAAATTCAAGGATTCAAGTCTAATCTGAGGTTGTTCTTCCATGAAGCAGCTCTGTTGTCCTCCATCTATATTTTCAGTTCCAGGCTGAGTCATTTCTACCTTCTCC